CTGGGAAGTCATAGCAGCAGAAAGTCCAGCGTGACACTTGACAAACTGTCAGAATCGGGAAACGTCCATAACTATCTAGCTATATACATGCTTTTCCCGATATATCTGTGAACAGTAGAGTGTCAACGCTTAGAGGACATATACTGACAAGTCCTGGCGGGGTCAGGTGGAAATTTCTGACTGAGTACACACTTAGCTTTTTATGTTCCAACATTTTGGCCCAAGGTCAAAATAATTGTAGCTTTCCATTGATCAAAGGGTCTCCGTTTGAGCTCGCGAATGCACTGGGGTATGGAAAATTACATGGCTTAAATGCAATAACAGTGCCAGCTTCAAGCAAAACAATATCAGTTGAACTTGCGTTGTCGAAAGCCCCATGTTGCATGGTCAAACAATGTCATTTGTCAAAGTTTCTTGTCATTACTGTGACTGTAGAAAATAACTTAGAGTCAACAAGTTGAGGGTTATTTGTGCTTGTTTAACCTAGTTCAGATGTTTACAGATGTTCCCCAAACTACACAAAGCGGCAAAGTGTGGGAATGAGCTGCTGTGTTTTGTGAGCAGAGCTGCTTGGCATCAGCTGGCACTCCAAAGCTGCCTGTGCCCATCCAGACAAAGCATTGGCTGTAATAAAAGGCTCTGCTAATTTAAATTTGATGAGGACGGTAAGGTCACAATATTGGGGGTTTGCACCTATTGAAGAAGCAGCACGCTGTGTTTCTGTCATGAGATCCTGTGCTGCAAAGCAATAAGGGACATTTTATTTTTATCTGTCTGTCTGTTTGTCCGTTATCTGTCTGTTGTTCTATTCTTTCTGTCGGTCGGGCTGATCATTTTATTTTGTTTATTTATTTATTTAGTATTTTTCCACACAGCAGAGCTGAAAGTAAATTGTGATCTTACAATGTTAAATAAAGTAAAGTTTCAATAAGTACAGCGTTTTCTTTACTCTTTACTTTAAAAACTATGTTTATAAAGGGTCATATTTTATTGTATACCGTACCAGACAGAGCAAGCTCACTGTTTGCAATGCTCAAAATATTAAAAGAAAATTAAAAATATTGAATTGAGGGTGGGGTTTATATGAATGTATCTCTGAAGGGAACTGACTGTTTTCAGAAAATTTCCGATGTTTTTTTTTTCTTTCATTTTAAATGCATACTTTAATGCATATTGATTTAGTGTTTATAAGCACTGCTTTGCTTTGTTTACAGCAGTAACCAAGGAAATGCTATATTGTGGATGTTCCAAAAGCGCCACCTGCTGTCAGTAAATTTGCATAATTTCACAAAGCTAAAGTCAGACCATTCTGTTTGCCTTAAATCTTAAAATTATACAATCTAATTTAAATAAAAAATAAGTGCTCATGCATTTGGAATGTGATTTAAAAGCAGTGGTTGCCTCTAATTTCAATATTGTTTTTGTTTAAGGCCAGTTTGGAGCAAATTAACATCTTGTTCATTTAGTCTTGTCTCTTGCTTAAAGGGATACTCCACCCCAAAATGAAAATTTTGTCATTAATCACTTACCCCCATGTCGTTCCAAACCCGTAAAAGCTTTGTTCGTCTTCGGTCTTTCATACTTTTCTGGACCTTGACAGTGTAATTTACTTGGCAGTCAATGGGACAGTCACAAGCCTCCCGGTTTTCATCCAAAATATCTTAAATTGTGTTCCGAAGACGAACGAAGCTTTTAGGGGTTTGGA